CTTCCTTTATATCACTACAAATCCTCTGCTCGAGGACGACCGGCACCTGCAGCACTATATTTCGTCGGGATAAGACTCGGAAAAATAGATTCTAAATTACCTCAGTGGATGTTTGACTGTTTTAGCCTGTGATGTATGACAAAACGGCGTGTAGCCCATCCATACTAACAAGCAGCTTAAGCAGATAGAGCTCTTAGCGGAACTGTTAGGTTGTTTTGACCTGGAGTTCAGTGGCTGAACAAATGTTGGTATGAACTCCGGTATTTATCACGGTATTTCAATGATGACATGACCATTCAAGACAAGAGCACATGACTCAGCTGATTGGTCATATATGTATATATTACAACCAATTGAGTCACTGAGACAGAATGACAACATCAACATGGGACCACGTATTACTACGTAACGGCTTATCACTTCTCATATCAGTACATCAAGTAAGAACTCAATAAAATAAAAGATAAAGAAAGTGGTCGAAAGTCAATCAATTAGTCAATATCAGCACAGGCTAAGGGATTACTGTGAAACGGTCCAGGTTGCTTCACCTCATATCAGCCACAAGTAACAAAGTAGTAAGATGAAAATGAAGAAAAGGGAAAGTCGGTCCAAAGTAGTTGGAAGGGGTAAAACAGAGGAAGGAGGAATCAGAAAACGCTATATTCGCTATAGCGGTTGAGATGAAGATGAAGTGTGGACATATCTGCGCCACATATTGATTCTCAGCAATATCACCTAGAGTTCCCAACAACTGGTTTTTGTTGTCACGCGGACCCCAACTGGAAAGTCTGGATTTAACTTCACAACTCAGAACAAACTCACTCGAAGACTCTACAGGCTGGTGCTACGTTTTAGTCTGGCCACCTCTAACCTTTATCAAGTCTGAGTCCACTTCAGTCAACATTGTACGACGACGTCGGCGTTACTAGACATGAGTAAACACATGTCCCAGCCACCTGAGTCGATGAAATTTCACAACCTTACCAACAGGTCTAGATTTGCGCACCCTAGATCTAACAAGGATTCTCCTGTGACAAAATCGACCTCTGTAAAGCCAGACTATGAAAGAGGCATCCATAAGGATATCTATGATAAAGCCTAATAACAAATAGATAGTAGATATTCTTGATGAATACCACTCGATGTACAAAACTCACTATATGCTCTAGCTTAGTTCGAGTTCCCACACCAGTATACAAAGAATAGATGGGTAGATAAAGGGTGATCTGAAGGTAGACAGAGTTGTGTAATAGAACAAACAATTCGGAGATAACGGTTATTGCAAACATTCAAGCTTCAGATGGAAAGGCGTGAATTCATCAGCTGTTAATGTGCTGTTTGAGTGAATAGATTCGTTAGGAATAAGGATTGTGAGACAAACCGATACCTATTTGTAATCTCCGCCTACGCACTCACACACTGTACTTCGGATGATGCAAAGAATGAATTCTATGAAAAGCTGTCAACTTTGCTGAAGAAAGCAAAAAGTTCAGATGCCATTATAATGGTAGATAACTTTGACGCCGAAAATGGGGAGTTGAGGCAATCAGAAAGGTATGTTGGACGTATCTACAGAATCCTGTGCCAACAAACCAACAACGGTGGTCGTCCCTTGCAATTGTCCCGAAAATCACTTGCTTTAAGAATAAGCAGAGGCATTGTCTTACATGGCGTCAGCCGAAATCGAACCAGCGATGGGCACAGATCAGATTGCTATAATTCATCGTTGGTGAGGATCAGTGGAGGATTGCCACTTTTTCTACAGTACCAGTATGGACTCCGATATCGCACCAGTACGGGCTCGTGTATGTCTTCGATTCACTGGTAGGAGGAAAAAGACGATAGTAAAGTCTGTCTACAGCCCATTGGAAGACTACGACGCCAAACACGTATTTAGGAAGGAGTTAGTTAAAAGTTTATCTGAACATAACAGCCATGCTCATCCAGAGGAAGCCTCTTGTTTGGTGCAGAAACAGCGATGAGGAGAGCTTGTAACTGACGCCGGAAGGTTAGCAAACGTCTTTGGATTCCACGATCTCATCCAAACTGACTGGTTTGAAGAGATTGGTCCCAGCTGGCTCTGACCATGAGGACCAGTGAAAGCGACTCAAACATAAATTTACCAAGAGCCTTCACGTCGATCGCGAGGATTGGTGGGTGGTGAAAGCAAGAGATAGGCAAGGCATTAGAATTTAGTACCAACAGCAACTACTCGGGTTTATGAAGGATACTGGCAA